AGGTCTCCCCGAAGCCTTCTCTTCTCCAGGCTGAACAACCCCAACTCTCTCAGCCTTTCTTCATAGCAGAGGTGTTCCACCCCCCTGATCATTTTTGTGGCCTCCTCTGGACCTGCTCCAACAGGTCCATGCAAAACAAAATCATTGCCCTAGCCAAGGGATGCATACACAGACAGAATCGTTCCCTCAAGCTCTTCAAGGCAAATGTCTGGAAGAGCTGACAGATCTTCAGCTAACTTTGGGGCCGGTACCTTTTGCTTAGCTGTCATGCTTTACTGCCAAAATCCAATCAGTGTCCAACAGCCTGGCCTTGAACCTCTCTCCAAAATAGGATCAGTCTGGGCTAACAGAGTCTTGCGGCTGCCTGTAGCTGAATCAGCACAAACGCAAACTTTGCAACTCAGATACCTCCCAGGAAGCTAAAACTGCCGTGCCGTGTCAAAGAGGAACTGACAGCATCTTCTTGCGTTGCTTCACTTCATCGCATAAAAAAGCTGTCCGCTAGGTTGTTCCCAAGCTTTCCTTCAACCCTCCTCTGCTCTAACAGTCCCCCATATCCCTTTCATACATCTCTTCCTCCTTCAATGGTCTGGATACAGCCGGCTATTGCATAACCCTAATTATGTTATTGCTGTAATTGCATCTGCCGTCTGCAGCACATGGATTCGTTACAAGCTTTTCATATGCTAAAATGATTATTAATGAGTGCAGTCCCAACCCAGCGACAGCACAACAACAGCCATGACAAAAAGATCTTTTGGAAGGCAATTAGCTCCATGCTAAGCTGCCTAAACCGCGGCAGTGCTGGAAAATTTCAGGAAGCACTGGCAACACGGCTTTTCTCTTCTCTTTTGATGAGTTAATGAGTTACTGAGTGGCGGCAGGCACAGTCATTCTTGTGGAACAGCTCCACTAAGGAGCCTTTCCTGGTTGGTACCAAAGGCAAGAGCATTTACTCCTGGCTAAACAGAGGGCAAGATGTATTCCCAGGTCACTGTTGTATTGCTTTCCTTAGGAAAACAAAACAAAACAAAACAAAACAAACACAACTCA